GGCCTACGAGTGCACAGCTGTCTCATTCATAGCCCACAGAGCCAATGGTCTTTGGCCCAGTTCCCTCCCTCTCCCCATTTATTCAGGCTCTGGGACACCTGCCCCCACATCTCCTCTAGCCTGGATTCTCTCAGGCAGAATGGCCCTTTCTGTTGCGTAGGTTGCAGTGGGATTCTCCTCTGGCCAAAACACACATAACACAGGACGAGAAAGGTGATGTAAAAATTCTGAATGGCCCGTGAGTTGGGCAGGTCCTAGGGATGCCAACAAAAGCTTGCAAGCAGCCACATGAAAAAGGAGGCTTCTCTCCCTGCTCAAGACCCGGCCAAACATTTGGCACAAGTGCAAATACCTTAGATTGTTTCCTAAGGGGATCTCCCCAACAACAAGGGTTCCACCCTAAAGGAACACTCCTTACCCTGCATCCTAACAAAGGTTTCTCCTGTTTCCCATGCACAGCTCTCCCCTCTACACAAAGTTCAGGACTATACTGCTAGAAGATAGTATAGTGCTCTGAAACTAATGCCCAGAGGCACTGCCCAGAATCAGAAGGGACTGTTATAAAGCAGGAGTAGCCAAGGTGGTACCATCAAATGATGTTAGACTCCTATCTCCTCTCAGGTCCAGCCAACATGATCAGTGATGATGGGAGCTGCAGTAGAGCATCAGGAGGGCACCAGGTTGTCTACCCTTGTTAAAATACATTTCTGCCGACCCCATGACCCCACCAAACCTACCCTTGCAATCATGGTAAAGCCAACTTACAAATATGGCACTGGGAAAGTGCAAATCTGGAATTTACACAGAATGCACTTTGGATGCTGACAGTGCTATCCAAGTACAGAATCTACAGATGTAATGGAAAAGGGAAGGTGTAAACTGGTTAAACTGCAATCTCTACACAGTGAAGTATTCTTCCAGGAAGCACTCTATTCCAGGGAATAGCCTCTTGAACTTTGAAAACAATTTGCTCCCAAATGAATAGGAACTTCCCATCAACAAAGATGGCATATGATACTAGGAAGTGCTAAGTCAGCACTTAGGGGAGGGAGGGATCTCCTAGCAAAGTTCAGGCTACACCATAGGGAGTAATGGTGAAGAGTCCATTGGTGGACAAGCAGTGTCAGGTGTGATTCAGGCACCATTATGTTCTGGGTAGGCCTAAGACGGAAGAATGGGGCCTACTAATTTTAGTTCCACCATACCCATACTGTCCTCAGAATCTTGGCTTCGCATGTTGTGACTAATGATTCAGATGCCCAACCCCAAAGATGGTGGTATGATGGGTTCAAGATTACTTCACTCCCAAGACCTTGTTTCCTGCCCCCAAATAAGATAGATAGCTATGTGAAGCTAAAAACTGTAATTGTTGTAGTCTTGACAGAGGCATGCTTCAAACTTCATACACCTTCCTGAGCAGCCAAGAAGGGCCTGACTAGCCTGGTCTCCATCAAATACCAGAAACCTGAGGCCAAAGAAAAGGCTGTTGGCTCCCCCTGGTGGGAGCCACCACACTGTGAAGGAATCACCCTGATCAAGATACCTCCATCAAGCTTCCATAGGTAGTTTCCTCCAGTCACATTCAGCACAGAAGCTAAGACAGTGTCAAAAATCACCCTGTTGGGAACTTTGAAAGGGGCTCAGATGTGAGAGCAGGGGAGGGATATCAGACTTGGAAAGGATGGCTATAAGTGCTCTTATGAGGTGGTGCTTCTGAGATGGGAGCAACTATCTGAATCCCAGGATTCTGGAGTCAATTAAAAAAGGAGCGTAATCACAGTAGAGATGAAATTGCTTGCATCCCTCACTGCCTCTGCCAGCTTTGATACAGACATCCCATGGAAGGATGTGGGTACAGCAGGCAAGCAAAGGGTTATTGTAGCTACCAAAATGACTGAATGGGCCATGGAGACAGGGTGGGTGGCATGTGGAAACCGTTACCTGCCTGGCGATAAATAGAGGATTCAGTCTCTGAGCTTGTCAGTCAGGGGCACCTTTCACCGCCTGAGCTAAAAATTCCTTTTAAAAAGGAAAAGAAACAAAACAAACTGAAAACACAAAAACAAAAAACAGAAGGTGAAAAATTCCTTGACATTTGGAGCCTAAAAATATCCGTGGCCTGGCTGGCTGGCTGGCAGGCAGGCAGGGAGGCGACAGCACTCTGAGTTTGTCAAGCAAAGGCTTTCACACCCTCTGCGTGCTGCAGCTGGAATGCCAAATATATAGTCAAGCCCCTACCCATCAAAGCAGTCTGCTCGTAGTCGGTCTCGGGCATGAGGCACTGTGGGTTTGGCCCACAGAGACGCTGAGAACATTTCATAGGGATGCTAAAGGAAAAGAAACACACACACATACACACACATGATTAACGATGGCCTCTAAGGTCATGTGGTGGGAGGGTTATGGGCTGGGCATAAGATACTTGCCCCTCCGTGAGGGATCCCAGCCCACTCAGAGCACTCATTCTTATCACCTTGTGTCGTGCACTAGGGTGGGGATGTTTGGGCTGGCAGAGGGCCAACATGGCCCTGCATTCCAGTCAAGGCTAAATGTCTCAGCCAACAAAGCCGGCAGTTCTGGATCTAGAGAAACAGCGAGGAAGTGACACTTTAGGAAAAGCCTGGCAGAGGAAGAGGGAGGGCAAGCTCTAAGGCTAAGTTGTACTTGGAAGAGTAAGTACTGTTACACTGTCACACACAATGCCTCAGAGCACATAATGTCAGGCTTGACATGGTGGAGAGAACAACAATGACATTGTTTTACGGTTGCCACAGAGTGCACTAACATGGCACAGGACAGCCTGCTGATCAGGCCTGTATGGGGGCAGTTATGAAATTAAAAGACACACAGCTGATATAGCACACTGCACACATTATTCAGCAAGACTTCCCAATGACAGCGCAGCGCATGGCAAACAGCTCAATAATTCAGAGGACACCATAATCTGCAACTCAGGTAGCCTCAACAATCTCAATAGCCTCTCATTTGTCTCCAAAACAATCCTCTTGTCTTGCAAAGTCAAAGCAACTGAGAATCTCCAAGAAATTCTTTCTGGTCCTGTTCCCTCTCTGCCTATTATCTCACTATTCTAAACAGACTAGGAACATTTCCAGGAGATTGGGGAAAATGTGGAGAACACTGGCTCTCCATTCTAGAAAGAGACATGAACCGAGGGCCTGAATCTAATAGCCTTTGCCTAGATTCTCAGACAATGTCAATAGCCCGTCTCTCTATTACACCATGTACTGATAAGAGCACTTTTCACCACATTTATTATGGGTGGAGCCTCCAATGGCTAATGCCCAAGTCCAGTTACTTCTCATAGGACTGCTGAATTAACCTTAAGCGTTAGAGAATTAATGTCACTAGGTAGGGTCTGTTTTCTGCAGATTTACTCCTGCTCTTAGGAGGATTACCCTCACCTCTCACACTGGGTAGGCCTCTCTGTCTGCAGTGGCAATTTCACTTGAATTCCAAGGGTGGTTTTCCCTTTCGCTTCCTGCCAGACAGTGATCCAGTCCCTGAAGAGGTATTAGTGGCAGCCACTAAATCGTGGTCCTAATCCCAAGTTGACAGCACCCAGGGCTACAGGATGGGGAGGGCCACGATAGATCAGTGCACCAAGCAAACAGAACGCCATGCCACTGAGAAATTGCACATTACACGCCTGTCCCTACCAATAGGATGATGCTGTCAGGTTATGGGCAGCAATAATCTCTGGCACCGGGCAGGGATGCCCTGGTCCTGAGTTCATTGTCAGGTGAGGGGACAGAGAGAGCTCAGGTTTCAAGGGATACTCAGACACCTGCTACTAATAAAACACTCACTGTCATGGGATCACCCTTACAGGCTCTAGGCAAAGGAACCTTCCACAGGGCACAGAGGGGCAAAAAGAGTATGTTGGTGATTTTAAAGAGCTTCCAGATGATCCCTGGGTTTTATATATATGGCACAGTTTCCTGACGGAAACAGCATGGCGCCATCACCATCATTCTGGTTCCAGCCTCTAGAGAGATAGAAATAAGAGATAGAAGATAGAAATAATAATAGAAATAACCATAGCACTGAGCAGGAGCAGCCACATAAGTAGCATTCCTTAAAGGGGTCGTCATTTCTGTAGGACTTGTGAAGAACTATGTGTTTCACAAACTTTATGTCATTCACATCAACACCAAACCTGTTGAGACAAGTCATTATCATGTTTAATTTACAAAAGGTGGCAATTTACCCATGGCCTGCAACAGAGCTGGCACTTGAACTCAAGACCCCCAAGGTCAAATCCAGAAGTGACCCATATATAAAGGTTTGCTATGGGGTTCACATAATACAGACCCCTGAATGAACATGAAGCCAAATCCTATCATCATCATCAGGGCTACCTTCACATGTAACACCCTGAGGGGTAGTCTGTTGTAGCAAAAACAATAAAAAGAGTCCTAAAGCACCTTAAAGATGAACATGGACTAGAGGCTACTTCATGAGAGGCAGAAAATATTGTCCTCACCTGGACACCTTCAGGTACACACAGAGGGACCATGGTGTAAAAGGAGCTCTTTCCTACAAAGAACTACCTTAATGCATGTATTTCATTTCACAGTAATACATCTCTGAGAGAAAGCCACAAGTGGCTGTGGGAATCTTGCCATCCCTTAGCTTAGCTCAGCTTCATCAGTAGAAGGTGACCCCTGGACCCATACTGGCTCCAACTAGACACTATGGAAAACTGTTTGGTATTGCTCTCTGCATTCCATTCTCAGGCTCAGTGGAGACTGCTTAGTAATCAAGGTGGCAGAAGAACACTGAACACCTTGCTTATAACCCATCCCTGCCGCTAATGCACACCCCACCAGCTAGTCCTTCAAGGGAATTCCCCCCCCCCCCCCGGAATAAATCCAACAACACTGCATTAGCACAGGAAATTCCCTTGTGCACCACTAAAGCCCAGTTTTGCCACTCCAATAGCACTATTAATTCTTTTATTTATTGTTGTTTATTGGTAGGCATGATGCCAACACAGCAAAGGTCAAGGATCTGTGCTCCAAAAGAACAACAGAGACATAAAAATGCACTTGTGTGTAGTTATAGCCTGTTTGCACTACCAACAATCCTCCTGCTGCTTCTAACATCAAAGGGAGATGGAACGATGACCACACCTCCAGTGCTGAACATAGGACAACCACCACTGGCTTAACTTAGATTATACTTTAAAATATGATACAATATCTTTATTTCAAAACCCCCTAAAAACTCTGAAACCCCATTTTAAAATACAATATACTAAAAAGCTAAGTAATATCTGAATAATGTTTCCAATGCATGAAATCAGCTCTACTGAAGTACCAAGAGGATAAAAGAGCTGCTCTTAGAGCTCAATCCATTCTCCTGTATTTCTTATTTGTCTCCATTCAGTACAAAAAATGGAAAAGGTTAGTTCTATGTAAGAGAATATGCTTCCCAGAACTATTTCTTCTGTGGCTACTTTACGCCACATCAGTTGGCCATCTAGCCTAATATTCTAGTATTCTCTGCATTTATGGAACACAAGGCTATCAAGGGTGACTAGCCACAATGGCTATGTTCTACCTTCACTGACAGAGGCAGTGTACCTCTGAATGCAGTTGCTGGGAGTCACAAGTAGGGGGAATGCTGTTGCACTCAGTCTCAGGAAAGGCATTTATCTAGTTGGCCACTGTGAGAACATGCTGGATTAAATGGGCCATTGGCCTGATTCAGCAGGCTCTTCTCATGTTCTTATTGTTCTTTGACTGGAAAGAAGCTATCCAGGGTACGAGGCATAAAAGGTAAAGGGACCCCTGACCATTAGGTCCAGTCGTGACCGACTCTGGGGTTGGTCATCTCGCTTTATTGCTCATCTCGCTTTATTGGCTAAGGGAGCCGGCGTACAGCTTCTGGGTCATGTGGCCAGCATGAATAAGCCACTTCTAGCGAACCAGAGCAGCGCACAGAAACACCGTTTACCTTCCCGCTGGAGTGGTACCTATTTATTTATTTGAACTTTGAGGTGCTTTTGAACTGCTAGGTTGGCAGGAGCAGGGACCGAGCAACAGGAGCTCACCCTGTTGCGGGGATTCAAACCACCAACCTTCCGATGGGCAAGTCCTAGACTGTGGTTTAACCCACAGCGCCACCCGTGTCCCGGTACTAGGCAAAGGCTTTTCCTATTACCTACTCCATATTAACTGGAAGTTTCAGGGATTGAACTTGGGACCTTTTTCTATGCAAAGCATTTGCTCTACCACTGAATAATGGTCCCTCCTCACCTATCAATCTAGGGACAAAAGGGTGTTGAAGGAATGGTAAGCATGACAACAGCACTTGCCACAGCTAGGTTGGGCCACTTTGGGAGGTAAGAGTCAGTGCCTCGCCTGAGTCATTCACAGAGCTGATCTCCAGGGAATCTAATTGATGAGTGGAGCACTAAAAGGTGTGACATGCAGACTTTATTGAACTAAGGACTAGACGGGGGCGGGGAGAGAGAAAATATAGCACAACTGAAGCATTACCTTTGTGAGTCAACATGAAGAAAGGGTACTGAAATATGTGCATATGCAGCCAATTCATATATTGCCTTCAAACCCCTACATGAATACATACATAAGTAGGGAGGAATGAAAGAAATCTCTTCCAGAGTAACAGTGCTTTGAAAGATTAACAAAGCACACATTACTACAACACAGATTTTTGAAATCCGCATGGCTGTGATCACACCCTTGGACACTGAAACTGTTCTTCCTTTTCATTCTGATGCCTTCTCATCTTCTTTCATTAGTAAATCCTCTCCTTGTTGGGTGCTTCAATGATAAGCGTGGGCCCAAACAGGTGACTCCATAGCCAGTGGAGTACTCATTTGCAGCAAGCAGCCTATGAAAATCTCCCCCATCCCCATGATCCTCCATGTTTGGAGATGGAAAGGACACCATGCTTTACTATTTTGATGTGTTGTTCCTGGACAACATTTGAAGATTGAGATTTTCAAAACCTGACAAGGCCTCCTTACCATAACAAACCCTGCACCCACCTCACAAGGTTGTGCCGAGAATTAAAAAAAAAAACGGGGGGGGGGGTAATGATGTTGTTCTGAGCTTCTTGAGCGAAGGGTAAGTTTATTAATTTTTTAACTTACCCTGTATACAGCAATTTATTCCAGTTTATTCTATACGCTGTGTACCTAAACAGAAAAGAACACTAGAACTAATAATTTCCATAACGTCTAAGAAACATTCTGTGGCTATGGATACAGGCAATATCCAAAGATGTCAGCCCACTTGTGCAATGGAAATCTGCTTGCACAACAGGACTTTCGGCTTCTCTTCTCCTGCTCCATTCCCCAACGTACCCACCAAAACTGCTCTAGAGAAACTCTCCAAAGCAGGATTTAGGGGCACCCAGTGGCTGCAGGAGGGACACAAGAAAACAGAATCCCCACTACCTAAGCAAATGCCCACTTGCACTATGTTGGATCTCACCCAGAGGCATGAGAGCTCATTTTCATGTGCATAAATGCTGACACTTATGCAACAGGATTTTTAATCCTTTTTTTGTAGTAACAGTAGCGAACCCTGCTTCTCTGTGCCTTGTCACAAACAGCTTTGGAAATTACCTCAGCTTTCCAAAGCAGCTTGTCACACAGCAAGTTGCAAATGGCTATTACCAAGTCAAAAGTCCCACTTGACCATGTAGCATTAGTTGTGCAGGCAATCCTTGTTTTGCGCAGGGGTTCTGTTCCACCCAGACCCTTTTCATGATGTCTTTATAACTTTTGGGGCTACTTCCAGGTTCAATGCCATGCATATGTGTGTGACTGCGTGTCATTCAGACATGCCTAAGTCAGGAGTTATTTGTACAGTTATTTGGATTACATCCTATATCCAGGATCTGGATAAATCTGTGTATCTCTCCAGGGGTCACTGGAAAAAAAGGAATGAGTAATTTGGCATCTGATTATTATGGCGATTATGTATGCCTATCTGCAGAATTTTTATTTTTCATAGAAAGCTTAGGTGGCTCAAAAGGGTAAATACATGTTTTATATCAGTTTCCAGTGACAGCCATGTTAGTCTGTTGAAGAAAAGGCAACATAAAGTCTTGTGGTATCTTAAAGACTAAAAACTTTTGTAACTTTTTAAATTTTATAGATTATAAGTGTACTTCAGGAAAAGATCCTGTAGGACAATGGTTCCCAATTAGCTAATCTCTGAGGATCCCCTATTTTCCAAAAGCCAAGCCACGGACCCCCTACTTTTGAAAATTTTGATAACTCTATGGTAGCTACCTCTGCAAAGTATATTTTTGAACAAAATATGGGGTAGCCTCTAAAAAGCAAATGATTTTAGGTATACTAAAATAATAGACTAGGGCCAAGTGACATCTGGTTTTCAACACTGTGATATATCAGCAGCTAAACATCACGATATTCCGATATATCATAATGTCTGAAATTGGAGATCAGGCATGGGGATCAACTGTGGAGATGGGATGGGTGAGGGTAGGAGAGGAAGCGGAGTAACCTCCACCACATGGTTTGAGTGGGAGGGGACCGGGATGGGGGGGTGCATCAAGGCGCCATTAGCAGGGCAGCCAGTGAAGATGCACGTCCACTGTGGCTGCTGCTGCTTTCCTGCTGACTAAGAAAAGGTGCTCCACCTCAGTGCCCGGGGAAGGTAGTGCCACGGTGCCTTGAAATGAGGGCAGTCAGCTGCCCTATTCTCCATCAGCGTGAGGGAAAGGCAGCACCAATGGAGGGTTGCATCTCGTTCTGGGCAACCTTCCATAAGTACATGCCAGTGGTGGAAGAATGGATATGACTCTTAGCTTTGCAGAGCAGGGCAGCTATATTTGCAGGTAGCAAAGATGGGGGTGGGGGAGAGAGATCTGAGTTTTGCAGCTTTTACCAGTTTCAATTAAGTGAAAAAAGTTCCTTCACTCAGCCTGCTTCTGCTATTTGCAAAGGTGGCACATATATCTCTCAACAAGATCTTCAATTGAATGTCCAGACTTGCAAATGGATCCGGATCCTGATTTGAGTTTCCTTTTTACCCACGGAAGGCAACAACCACTCTGTGCATTGCAACTGTGTGTGTGTGTGTGTGCGTGTGTAAATGGTGTGTACGTGTGCTAGCCGCGGCCACTTTGGGCATATACCTCCTCCTCCAGCCATGTTCTGTCAAGGGAGTTTGACCCTTGAGAGGAAAAATATACCCAACCCTGACTTACAGCATCAAATGCAGATATTTAAGCTGGGTGAATAAGTGACTAGCAGTAAGTAGCATTGCCAGTAAGGATTTAGGGGTTATGGTGGATTATCAACTAGACATGAGTCAACAATGAAATGCAGTGATTCCAAAAGCAACACTGCATCCAAGACTTCAAGAGCAATAGTATCACTCTTCTAATCACAGGAACTGCAAGCACTGCATTCAGTTCTGGGAACCAGAATTCAAGAAGGATGCTGACAAACTAAAAGGGATTTGCAGTGCAAAAGGAGGAGTCATACGAGCAAGCAGTGAATAAATTAGATACATCAAGCATATGAAAAAGAAAAAAATATGAAGGGATAGAGAACAGAGAACACATCGACAATTTTTCAAATATTTTAAATGACTTTGAAAATAAAGAGAACTCTTAATGCCCAGCCATGCCCATGGGTACATTTTCAGAGAGGTACAATCAAGATAATCATAAAGGGTGGACAAAATCCAATTATAACAGCATATCAGCAGTGAAGAAGACTACCTAGAGAAGCTGTGGAATCCTCTTCCTTAGTCTCCCCCCTCAAAAGTCCTGGACAGGCCTATGCCTTATGACAGTGGCTGCCAAACTTTTTGGGTCCTGGGGAGCATGTGGGCCCGGATTCAACTAACCCAATGTGTTAGTGGAAGTCAGTGTAAGGGCTCCTTCCTCTCATCGCCTCCCTGATGCCCCCATGCCTCCCCCAAATCTACTCTGGTTGATCAGGAGACTCCTCAGAATAGCACTGGTTGGCTGGCAGATGGGGCTCATTCTGTCTGGCAAGCAGAAGAAATGTTTGCACTGATGAAACTGATGAACTGATTTTGGGAAGGTGCCATGGGTACCGGTTA